GACCCAACAGCATAACGCACGCAGTCGCGAGAACAAGACGCAACAGAAACACAGTGAGTATTATTAAAAGTTATAATACCACAAGTAATAGATAAAATACGGAACACAGTATTAATGAATACAAATTCACGTTGCAGATACACACGATAGGGAAGAAGAGCTCCAACAGAGTAGGATGAGCATGACTGGCGTAATAAGATACGACGTAGCGATCGGGAATCCTGAACAGTTTTAATATTTTTACGATTGACATTTGTCAATATATATGATGGACATATATTTTAGTTATTTTAAAGTGAAGACAAGGCATACAATGTACTAGTTTGACGTGAATTGAGTAGCACCTGAAGATGGCATTTTTATGCCGAAACATGTAGTGAGAGTGAGAGAAGAAGATAGATAAGTGTACGCACTGCAAGACGGATTAAACAAATCATGAACTTAAATCAGTGCAACAGGACGCTAAAATATAACAATGTTTTGATTGATATACTACTATTATATTTGTTCACTCTATAATTAACCTTAAAGGCCCAATGACAGCTCCAGCCATTGCCGAACCTAATGGCCAGTGGCCCAGTGTTGACCACAGTTGTCAACACACTGTAGTGTCTCTGACTGGCAGCTGTTGGGCTCCTGACCCCTGGTGTAGAGAGGCTAATTGCAAATGTTCTGATGGATGTGGATCTGCTGGATAAAGCGTAATTTAAGAGTCTTGTAGCTCAAGAACCATCTTCAGTTGTAGAGAACAAAAGTATATTTTGTTCAATGAAATAGTAATTGGTGAGTTGTGTTGAGACTTTGGAGACCCAGAGGTAGAGGCTGAAACTGAGTGAAACTGCTGAACCTAAGCAGAAGCATAAGCATCTGTACTTCCTCCTAATTTTAAGGGGTAATGGGGGAGTCTGTCATGACTTAGTGTATCACAGTACTTTCAATTTTCGTGTCGTGGTGATTAACATTTCCATTCATTTGTGCTTATTTATTAAATAATTTTCCTGGGGAGTAAAGCGCAGCCGGCGCATAAGGCTGACAACCTTACCGCCATCTTTGAGCCGATTGTCTAGATAATGTGGGACCCTCAACGTCTCACAACCCTATGGGCCTCCACGGCCTGGTACAGGGATAGCTTTACTTTACTTTTTTACTTTTTATGTTTATAAAAAACAGCTTAACAGTGTAATGTCAGATACAAATCTTTCTTGCCTACATGCAATGAAGTAAGGGTTTCTTCAAAGTACAGTGACTTTATACTTCTGTTGTGAAATTACTGCTGTGGTAGCAGTGATTTTCAACCAAAATTCACATCTAGAAAGCCATTTCCTGTGAAGTATTTCTGCACATGTTTCGCAGGTCCTCCTTGTAAGTAAATGAAAGAAGACGACACAACTTTAAGCGTAGAATGAGTTTATTCATGACACAAATATATGAACATGGTTGGTTAATACACTTCATTATATCTCAAACACGCAGTCTGTTATTTATAGTAATACAGGAAGCATGCTGAATTATGGAACAAACATTTCTCTAGAAGATGCTGTTTTCTTCATTGTTATATGCATGAACTGATCCTGGAATTTAACCTTGGCCCACAGAGAGTTACTGGCTATCTAAACCTTGGTACTTTAAAGTCAAAATATTCTCAGTATTTATTATTTAATGTAATGAACCATTTAATGTAAAAAATATTATTATAGAAAACCTGCAGAAAATTACCTTTCTGTATGTTTTACATAAAATTTTGATGGAAAATTATATGAATAATGTTAGTATGTATGGTGAATTAATTACATATTGTATTTATTCAAACATCACACACTCCTGAAGGCATACAGTATCATTTTCAGACAACAGAAGTTTTAGAACTTAATTCTCCACGCAGGGTTTGCTTATGTATTCTGCTTCATCACACATATGTGTTAAGAAGCAGTTATTATGACTAATAACCGGTGATTGTACAAAATCACCAGTTGATGAATTATTATGTATATAATTTCTTCATTTCCTGCAGTAGGAAATATATAGAACTCAATTACACACATTAAATCTGACTGTAGTTGCATGCAGTACAGTATAAGTACCCAACTTTATCCTATGTCATTACTCTCTTATGGAGGATAATGTTTAAACTTGGACTCACATATAAAATTAAACTTTACACAAAAAATAAAGTATTGAAAACACTTCAAAACTGAGTTCTGAAAGGGTATGCGTTATTTGCAATACAAATGTTTTTTAATTTTTATATCTGCCTTAAAATTTGTCTTTTTGCAATTAAAAACAGAAACAAAACTGCATTCCCTTTTGGAACAGTATGACAGAGGTTTATATATATTTTTTTTCAATATTTCCTTAAATCTACAAACTAAAACCTGCATTGTAAACATTCCCATTTGGAAAAATATGACAGAAGTTTATATATTTTTTCAATATTTCTTTAAGTCTACAAACTAAAAACCTGCATTGTAAAGAACAGTACAACCTTCTGCCAATCGTAAACATTGGGCAGTGGGAGGAGAATAGCAGACATGGTTGAGAGTGACTGTATAAGAACTAATTGATGATGGCCCAAACATGTCATCATTGTAGAAACTGTATAGTTATCCTAGAATTATACAAGTATTGTGGGATTGAAACTGAAAAAAAAAAAATTCTTGTGTTTTTACGTGACAGTATTCTATAACACTTAAACTTGTTTTAAGACTTTATGGTTGTAGGTAGCACCTTACCATGGGTGTTACATGTTTAAACTATAAGGTGACCATTTACATGGTCGAGTTAGATTTACACGCTAAAAATAGGTGCCAACAGATTGATGCTAAGAAAGAATGTACAGCTGTTATCTGTGGCTTTTCTATGAGCCATGTCTTGTTCTTAATACCTTGGACCTCTTTTAAAGTTTCTTTAACAAGTCTCAGATTGAATATGTTGTCTTG